AGCAGTAGAAACAGAGCAAGAGGAGTATCATCGCACAATCCAGCGAACAATCAACTGCAATATAACAGAAATACACTACAGAATAATCCGAACTTAAGCAATCAAAGTCACGCGACTTACACACAAGCAACAGGTGGAATAAATGTAAATAATGTTCATAATAATACGAACTACTCATACAACCAAAATCACGCAACTAATGCTCAAATAATAAGTGTAAGTAATACAAACAGTAACATTGGAGAGATGGTGAAGAGTTTCCTTAACGAATTTAAAGCTATGTTTTCACAACTAATAAATCAAAATAGCGTGATCTTAAACATGCTTTCCATTGTAATAAATAAATTCAGTAATGGAACTTAAGTCACTACGAATTGCACAATGAAATGCCAACGGCCCAGGCAACCATAACACAGAAGTTACTAACTTTCTTGAACATAACAAAATTGATGTTCTACTCATATTAGAAACCCATTTCACTGACAGAACGATGTTCAAGATCCCTCATTATTCTATTTACAATACGAACCATCCTGATGGAACAGCACACGGTGGCGCTGCTATTATTGTACGTAACACCATACCATACTATGAGGACACAATGTATCAGGAAAACATACAAGCTGCAGTAATCTGTATCAGTTCTGAACCATGGTCTTTTCACATTGCGGCAATGTACAGCCCTCCAAGTCATAATATCACTACAGTAGAATATGAAGACTTCTTCAAACATCTATTAAACTAATTCTTAATTGTAGGTGACTGGAATGTCAAGCATACAGACTGGTGGTCGAGACTATGTACGACAAAGGGGAAAAATCTTAGACAAGCCATAGCTAACACAAACAGCTCTTACTTATATACAAGGAAACCCACCTACTGGCCATCAGATCCAAATAAAATCCCAGATTAACTCGACTTCTTTATCCTCCACAACATGGCCTTAAATTATTTTGACATACAAGCATCCTGGGATCTGTCCACCGACCATACTCCTATAATTGTCACACTATCTACGCAAATTGTAAAACGACCGAATATTCTTGTTAACAACATTAAAGATCAACTGGAATGTATTTGAGTTTTACATAAATGAAAATTTAAATTTAAATATAAGATTAAAGCAACGAGACGATATCGATAATGCTTCTTCTCACCCAAACTAAACATGCAGCAGCTGAACTAGTTATACTTCCTCAGAATGATAAAGAACCAAGACACCAATATATCCGTATATATAAAACGTCTTGTTGCACTAAAAAGAAGAACCAGGCGTATATATCAAAGAACTCGCAATCCTATAGATAAAAATGAATATGATAGATTTACTCGGCAACTTAAAACTACTCTACAAGATGCGAGGAATGATACATTTGAACTATTTATCAACAGTTTGTCAAAAGAAGACCACAGCTTCTGGAAGGCAACGAAATCATTCAAGAGGCCTACACAGCACATACTACCTCTAAGGAAAGCCGATGGAAGTTGGGGAAAAACTAAACAAGAAAAGACATCAACCTTTGCTGCACATCTGTCACACGTTTTTGGTGCACCTGAACTTAATAGCAATAATAACGAAGAACAAGTTAAAAACTTCTTAGACACTCCATGCCCAATGAGGCTAATAATCAAATGCTTTACTCCTAATAATGTAAAAGAACATATTTCTAGATGCAATAACTACAAAGCACCAAGTTTCTACATGATCACTGAGCTAATATAAAAAAAATTACCGAGAAAAGCAATTGTCTCATTAACAATGATTATGATTAGTAAACCAAATAAATCACCAAATATGACTACTTCATATAGACCAATCAGCTTACTTCCAATAATGTCTTAAAAAGACTTCTGCTCCAAAGAATCTCAGAAGACATCGAAACTAATTCATTGATCCCAACACACCAGTTTGGTTTCCGCGAAGCCCATTGAACTCAACAACAATGTCATAGAATTGGTGGAAACATTAATGTATGCCTCGAAGAGAAAAAAAATTGCACTGCTGCCTTCCTGGATATAGAACAAGCCTTCGACCGTGTTTGGCATGACGATCTCCTGTATAAACTTAAGTCATTCTTTCCTACTCCTTACTATCTACTCTTAAAATTATACCTCACAGAACGTCACTGTCAAGTCAAATTCCTTACAGAAACCTCTCATTACTATCCCATAAAATCCGGTGTCCCTCACGGAAGTGTCCTGGGTCTCCTCCTGTACCTCATATACACTGCTGATATCCCAACAATAAATATGACCATAGTAGCCATGTTCGCAGATGACACCGCCATAATATCCATCGATGATGACCCCAAGTAGCATCAGGAAACCTTCAAATACACCTGAACCTACTACAAGACTGGACGAATAGATAGAAAATCAAAGTTAACCATACTAAGTCTTATCAAATTACATTCACCAACAGGAACATCATATGTCCGAGAATCAGACTGAACAACATATTGCTACCAGTAAAAACAGAAGTCAAATACCTGGGAATGACACTTGATCAAAAGTTCACTTGGAAATCACCTTTCTCCGATACTGACCCGCTGCGTGCAACAGTCATGGCAATAGCTAAACAATACGCTATAGTTTATTTTTATGAACGAGAGAGTAATTAGTATTAATTTAAAATAAATGAATTATTTCAGTGTTATAAAGTGTTATGTGTATGTAAACAAAAGTGACCTCTTTTATCACACACTATATTAGAACTGACTGGCTTACATTAAAAAGGGTTTTAAAAAATTCACATTTTTTTTAATTTTTAAAAATTACAAAAGAGAAAAAGAGTTTTTAAAACCGTCTAGGTATGTTAAATAGATGAATAAAAATATTAATATAAAACTTACAGCTACTTGTTACAAATCTAAATCAGATTCAGAAGATGAACTTTCAGAACCAAGATTTATAATAACTGGCTCGATCATTTTATCAGTAATATTGTCCAGCTTCCACATTTTTTCCTCTTCTTTAATAGTGTGATTTACTGCCTTTTCCCAGTTTTCAGGTTTTACATTATTTACGGCCTCCAAAAACAACTGTTTAACATCATTAATTTTAAAAGTGGTATTTTGTCTTGAAACTTCACTCTTTATCTGTGCCCATACCAGTTCAATCGGGTTTAATTCACAATGATATGGTGGGGATCTAAGTACTGTCATTCCAGGATTTTTGGCAATTTCATCAATTTCGTATTTTTAAAATTTTTCTTTATGAAGGGCACACAACGAATAAAGTTCCTTTCTTATAGATCCGGGATGGTACGTAATATTTTTTGAACTCAGCCAATTCTGCAAGTCTTTTTTTAACCACTTGGTTGTGGGCAGTGCTTCTATAAGTCTGGAGTGATAACTTGCATTATCCATTACTATTACACAGTTCTTAGGAAGAAGATCTATCATTTGTTCGAACCATTCTTGAAAGACATCAGCGTTCATGTCTTCATGGTAGTCACCGGTACAAGTTGATTCAAAAGTTAATAAACCACCTTCAACAAAACCGTCTGAACTGCCAATGTGTACTATTATCAGCCTGCGTCCCTTTCCTGATGGTGGGTTTAAACCAGTAGATAAGTTATTTACAAAAGCGTGCCTTTGACTTGTAACAATTTCATCCTGCCAAAATTTATTTGGTGTATGACCCTCGTTGATCCATGTTTCATCAAGATAAAATATTTTTCTTTTTTGGTTTCTCATTTCCTTTATGGTTCTTAGAAAATGTCTTCTTCATATGACAATATCGCTTCTTTCTAATAAAATAGACATTCTGGGATTCTTTTTCCAGCGGAAGCCTATTTCTTTTAAAATGATATTCTATTTGAAATTTTGGTTTCCCTGGAGCATTACGTGGCATTTGAAAACTACCACATTTCTCTTCTTTAATAACTCTGTAAATCGTAGATTTCCCAACATCAAGTGTACTGCTAACTAACTCAACGGTCTCATCAACACTTTCACATAAAACGTTTGTCTGTAAATGATTTAAAACAATTAAATATTAATGTTTTTTCATTAACTGTTAAAGGACCAATTTTTCGGCGTTTACACGGCACTTCCAAATTTTCCATAACACTAGTATACACAATAAACTGCACCTTGCAACTGAAGTACCTACTTTTAGTGAACTGTTAAGAATTTTGAATACCAAAATGGAAAATCCCACTATCACATTTTCTGTGGAATAAGTTTAGAAGGTAATTATCTAGTCAATTACTGTCGTAGATTCCTGGAATTAAAGAATTAAATGTTTGAATGTTGAAACCCTTACTTCGTGGAATGCACTCATTTCAGATAAAATAAAACGTTTTATTTTATGTAAAGAATTAAACTTTATTTTGCAAATAGGTAGGTACTTATTAAACTTTTATTGGTTATATATAACCAATAAAATAAACATCTTACATTTCTTGCAAATTCATTAGTACCTGTTAACCTCCATCACTCCGACACTGCCAACCTTATTTAGGGATTAGTAACCCTCACAACTATTGTATTCTATTCTGCTCCAACCTTTATACCTGGTGGTCATACTCAATTTAAAATTGTTTTCCTATATACTTCTGTAAACTTGTTGACAAATGTCTGTTTTTCATTGAGTCACCCGTATCAACAGTTTAGGGATTTGCATACATAATTTATTGTTTTATTACTCTCTCATACATAAAATACACTATAGACTTAATTGATCACGCACATGCCTCATTTAATTTTTTTATTTCATAGACTATAGTATTTATTAAATAAAAACATATAAATCCAACTTACTAATTGTTGTAATTATAATTATCTTACAGTACAGAGTACCTAATACAGATTGTAAATAAATATCTAACTATATATAATATAAAAACATCGAGTAGAATATCAAGCATCAACTTTAAGGATAAGCCGCAACGTTGTACATTCTTCCTTGAGTCAATACTGACTTGGTGCATGTGTTAAACAAGAAGGATATAAAATGTAACCGCGAAAGAAAAAAAGATAATTTATAAGGCTTACCTTGAAGGGTCTTATTTATGGTAATTTTGGTATTATCGTCCCTCTTCCATTTAACGCTAGGTGTAGGAAATCCGGTAGCTTTACAAGTTAACGTCTCGTTGGAGCCCTCTCTCACAATCGCATCGCTGCTGCTCAATGAGTCATCTATATTTGGAGGCACTGAAAAGTGTAGAATACACATTGTATAATTTATAATTTAATAAAATTTTTTAATTTTATGACTAAAAATTACTTGACCAGTATTACTATAAATTATATGACCAAATTTAATTTAAGTAAAAGATACGAGTACTGATTATCCACAGTAAAAAATATAAAGGTTTTGAGTAGAAACTTTAGTCACTTACAAAATATTTTGCAAAAATATGTTAATATAATTACATGCCGCTAACAGTCAAGCTGCACTAAAGGCTCTGAAGTTTAATACTTTTAAGTGCGTAATGATATGGGTGATACTGCAATATTCTTCTTCTTAACGTGCCCTATCAAGTCCCCTTGACGTTGGCGATTAAAATGGCGAAACTGTCTCTGTCTCGAGCTATTCTAAAGAGTTGCTCAGCTTTCTTTATTCCTGTCCACTCTCTGATATTCTTTAACCAAGAGGCCTGCTTTCTACCAATTCCTCTGCGTCCTTCGATTTTACCCATCATAATAAGTTGAAGAATATTATATCGGTCTCCCCTTACTACGAGTCCAAAATAGGCCATCTTTCTACATTTGATGTTATCAAGCAGCTCGCGAGCAGCATTTACTCTCTCAAGGACTGCCACATTTGTCAGCATAGCCGTCCATGGAATTTTTAGTATACGTCTGTGCAGCCACATTTCAAAAGCCTCCAGACGATTAATGGTGGATATTTTTAATGTCAATGCTTCGACACCGTATAAGAGGACTGACCAAATGTAGCATTTAACCATACGCTTTCTAAGTTGAAGTTGCAAGTTATCATTACAGAAGAATGACCTCATTTTTAAAAATGTCGTGCGGGCTATCTCGATTCTACATTTTATCTCTTGATCTGGATCTAGTTGTTCAGTAATATGGCAACTAAGATATTTAAAACTGGACACTCTTTGAATTATATGACCATCAACATGACACGTCTAAACACCATGTATTTTGTTTTTGAACAGTTTATGTTTAGGCCAAACTCTCTTCCCACTGTATCAATGGCATTTAAAAGGCATTGTAATCCATTTATGTCATCACTTAAAATAACTGTATCGTCAGCATATCTGATTGTATTTATCAGAATTCCATTAACTTTCACGCCCCATTCCCAATTATGCAGCTCTTCTTTAAATATTCTATCTGAATATAAATTAAATAACAGTGGGGATAGTATACAACCCTGTCTGACACCTCTTTGTATTTTACATATTTCTGTTGATTTTCCGTTTATGCAAGCTGTCACTGTTTGACGCCAGTATAACTTTTCTATGAATCTTGATGATTTTCTATGAAACTTTTCTATGTATGTCTTGACTATCAACTCCTTTATCTTTAAATATTGTAATTAATTTGTAATGCTGTACTCGATCAAAGGCCTTTTCATAGTCAATAAATACAACAAAGATGTCTTTCCTTGATCTCGACATTTCTGCAGTAATACATTTAGTGCAAAGAGGGTGTCCCGAGTTCCCAGTCCATTTTTGAAGGCAAATTGTGTTTCATCCTGATCTTCTTCACATTTATCTCTGATTCTACTGTGGATGATGCGTTGAAATATTTTCAAAGTGTGGCTCATAAGACTTATCATTCTATAATCGCTACAGTTTTTCGGACGTTGTTTTTTTGGTAGTGTTATGAATTCGGACTTTAACCAATCTTCAGGGATATCACCAGTCGAATAAACATCATTGAAAAGTTTGACCAGTATTCCAATGTTCTCCTCATTTATAAGCTTTAACATCTCTGTCGGTATGTTATCAGGGCCAACGGCTTTCTTGTTCTTTGCTAACTTTATAGCATGCAGTATTTCTGATTTTAGTATTTCTGGTCCTTCACCTTCAACTAAAGTCTCCGGTTCTTCGGGTCTATCATCATTATACAGTTCACTTATATAATTACACCAGGTTGTTCGAATCTCATGTTCGTCTAATATCATTTTTCCCGACGAATCGGTTATAGTATGTAGAGTTTTCTTATGATAAAGACCAGCTACTTCTCTAACTTTTTTAAACATATTAAACGTATCATGTTTTTCATTCAACTTTTCTAATTCCTTGCATTTATCCTCCATCCATTTTTCTTTAGCCACCTTTATTTTTTGTTTAATTAGTTTCAGTTTTTCCTTATATTCTGTCTTGTTACCTTTCAGTTTCCTTCTCTGCTCCATTAATTCCAAGATTTCATCAGTCATCCATTGTTGTTTTTGTGAATGTGTAACGTTGTTGAATATTTTTCTATTACTTTAAAGGTAAGATCTTTAAATGTGTTCCATATTTCTGTGTTGTTTTCATTTATTGATTTCTTTAGCTCATTGTTTAAGTCATTTTCTATTAACGTTTTGTTGGATATTGAGATATTTAATTTTGGTGTTTTGAGGCTTTCTTGGACTTTTTTGAGCTTCACTTTGATGTCAGTTATTACAGGGTTATGGTCTGAACCGATATCTGCACCAGGATATGTCGTTACTCTGGTGACGCCATTCTTAAATCTCTTGTTTACCAGAATATAGTCTATCTGATTTCTAATCATATGTAGTGAATTATCTCCTGGTCCCCTCCATGTGTATAACCTTCTTTTGTGTAATTTGAACTATGTATTTCGATTATCATGTCATGTTCTTGACAGAACTGGTATAATCTATGGCCTCTTTCATTGCTCTCCCCTAATCCATATTCACCTACCAGGTCAGATCTTCGACCTTGGCCAATTTTTGCGTTAAAATCTCCAATAATATATGTGACTTCGTTACTTTTTAGATTTTTAAGTGTCTCTTTTATTTGGCTATAGAATGATTCGACATTATTATCATATTTCTTTTCTGCAGTAGGGGCATATATCTGGATAACATTGACATTAAATGGTTTGCTATTTAATTGGAGTATTGCAATTGATACTGCAATCATTACTGGAAAATTAATTGGTAATTTGTATTTAATAGACTTACAATTGTATTCAGATGTGATTAACATTGATCGTGATACACCTGAGTTGTGGCACAAGTGCATAGGACATTCTTCTAGATTTCCTGTGAGTTCAGGATGTGAGATATGCTTGAAAGGTAAGCAGACACGTTCTCCATTTTTAAAAAGCCTCCCAAGCGATAGGAAAGCTCAACGTTTACTTCAATGTGTATTCACAGATATGTGTGGAAAAATTAGCCCTTCTACTCATGATGGTAAAAAGTATTGTTTTATTCATTGATCATTACATTCATTTTGGAGTGTTATACCTTGTTAAAGAAAGAATGAAGTGGCAACATGCTTTAGGAATTTTGTAGCCTTAACTGAATTAAAATTAAACCTGAAAATAGAGTATTTGGGATGTGATAATGCTGGGGGAATAGTTCTAAAAGCTTTAAAGATTTTTGTACTAGTAAAGAAATAACTATACAATGTTCTGTGCCCAGAAATCCAGAGCAGAACGGATTAGCAGAAAAATATATCGTACTATTTAAGATAAATCTAGAATCTAGACTTTTATTTTGGATAGAGGTATTGACAAGTCATTTTTGGGAGAAGCTGTATTGTCTGCTGTATACTTAACAAATTGAACTCCTACAAGTACATTGCCTAATGACTGTTCACCAGTTGAAGTTTGGTATGGTTACAAATCTGATATAAGCAAAATGAAATTATTTGGATGTAATGCTTATGCACATATTCCTGAAGATCGATCTGGGAAGTTTGCTGAGAGATCAAGAAAATATATTTTTTTGGCTATTGTGACAATGGATACCGCCTTTGGGGCCCTCTAAAACGAGCAGTGTTGATATCTCGTTCAATTAGATTTGATGAAACTTCTGAAAGCGAATCTCCAGTTCATGTGATGACACATAGAGGTGTGAATCAGCAAACTATTAGTTAACGTGGTAAATTTGATCCTGAAGTAATACAATCTGATAGTAGTCAAAAATAGTACGTAGAAGTTCAAGAGATAGACATATGCCTTTTTATCTTGATGACTATGATGATGGCTTTATCTGATACTTGTCTACCTTCTGAATTACCTTAAACGTACACTGAAGCTATTTTGATGGAAAATGGTAAAAAGGCGCCATTAAGAACTTTTGGCGTTAGAAAGCAACGGTAGCTGAACTTTGGTAGAACCTAAGGTTGATAATGTAACAATTGCTTCACATTGGGTTTTTGTTGAGAAAAATATTGATGGTCAGTTAGTAAAAAGAGCTCTATTAGAGGCCAGAGGCTATTAACAGCCAACATTGGACAACAAAGACGTATATATACCAGTAGCTAGATTAACCCCCCTTAGTGTACTGTTAGCCATTTCTGTAGATCGTGATATGGATATTCATTAGCTTGATGTGAAAAGTGCTTTTTTGAAAAGTCCAGTGTCTAGTGATGTGTTTCTAAAGCCTCCGGATGGCTTAAGTGTTAAGGCTGGTGTAGTCTGTAAGTTGCTAAAAGCTTTATATGATTTATGAGAAAGCCCTAAATGTTGGAATACAAATATTAATAAGAATTTATGTAATTTAGGATTTAAAATAACTAAGGTTGACCCTTGCTTGTATTTCAATGCAAAACTTATTTTTTGGTATGGGTAGATGATATTTTTGTTATTTCAATTAATAAAGATGATGTCAAATTTTTAATATCAAATTTAGAGGAAATTTTAGAATTAAGTGATTTATCAAATGAAACAAAACATGTCTTTTTAGGATTAAACATTAAAAGGAAAGATAACTTTAGTTTTCAGCCAGAAAAATTTAGTTACAAAAATTTTTAATCGTTTTAACATGGTAAATTGTAAGATTAGTAAAAGTCGAATGGAATTTGTGTTTTTCAGTTTAATTTTGTTGAAGATTTCAAAATAATTTTACTATACTAACAAATTAGGCTTAATATACAATAAGTTACTAAAAATGAAGTTTCTATTCATGCATATGCTGACTCGGATTTTTCGAGCGATCTTCTTCTTCTTTTGGCATCATAACCCTGGATGGGTCTTTGCCTGTCTGGCTATGTCCTTCC